CACTGTATTATCTCTGATTTGTTCATATTGCTGGTTTCATTTTCTGCGCGGTCCCGACATGCAAATGACAGGGTAATGTGATCGACAAGTCATGCACACATGCCCAACCTAAGCACAAGTGCTCACATGCAATGTTGAACAAGTTCAAATGTTTTAAGCACAAGACATTCGGCTTGGAAAACATTCTGAATACTTTTGAACTTTCGGTGAAAAAAAACTGGGTGTGTTACATTACTCAATTAATAATTAGTCATAATAATGTGGTTAGCGAAAGTGGTTTGAAACTCCTTCCTACCTTTACTCGTTTCTTGCTTATCGACTGTTGTCATATGACTCAGAGTAGCCAAGCTTAAAGCCTCCAAATGTCTCTTTGAAGGTTTGGCTGTTTAGAGCAGAAACCACGGAACTCTTTCCTACCATTACTCGTTTCTTGCTTATCGACTGTTGTCATGTGACTCAGAGTAGCCAAGCTTAAAGCCTCCAAATGTCTCTTTGAAGGTTTGGCTGTTTAGAGCAGAAACCACGACATATCCCTATGGCCATGTTTGGAGACTGAAATTCGATTGGAGGTACGTTGGATTTAAAGGACTGAATTAACTAAAATATACTATTGCGTGGTCTAGCAGACATAATCCAATCCAACTTAATCTCAATATTTTGGCGGGATTTATAATCCTACTACATTTCAACTTAGTAGAATTAGATATTTTCTAATCGATATTGTTTTTAAGCCATCAAATATTTAACTGGGATTATAAATCTTATCCAGTCACATAATTCAGCTCAGCAAATGTATCCCTATTTTACATGTAAAGGCATTAAACACCTGCTTTTCTTTTACTGACTTAAGAAATTGAGCTCCTGTGTGGCAGAGTTGGATGCTCTTTACTTGGCAATGAAATTTTCCTTTTGACCAAAAAATAATTGCACTGAGCACCTTTATTTGATGTGAGGTCTTGCCCTACTGTCCGACTAAGTAAAACCCATCAACATTGAAAATGCCCCTATTTTAAGTGTTGTCTGTCTCACCGTACGAGCTTTGTGGCATCATCCATCCACACAGGACATGAGTAAACGAGGCCCACGGGATTTTCCTAATATATGAAGGAAAGAGATATTTAATCATATACCTATTCTTAGCATTAATAATATAAATAAACTCTACACAATTTAATTTCTATAAACAAACCTAAAAAAACACTCAAAAAATGACAGCTGGCCCTATTGAATATAATTTTGATTATTAAATTACTTCGATGCCCCATTGAGTATTTTGGGCTTTTTTATGGGAAAATGCTAGGGAGACCAACTTGGGAGACCAACTTGGGATACCAAGTTGGTCTCCCTAGCATGACCCTTTTTTATGAGGTTTTGGCTTTTGGGGTTGGGTTTGTTTTAAGAAATCAATGACAGTTTTTTAATTTAAAAGAAGTTAAAAGTTGTACGGAGTCACCACTTTGGCCAACACTTTGCCTCTTACGGGCCGACCCGGTGTGAGTGGGGATTAGTCTGGGTTGTGGTTAAGGCTTAAAGGTGCCACCCATAGTTGGGGCCCATCCAGGACCACCTCATGGTTTAGACCAAAAAAGAAGTTAAAAGTCCTTTTGTTATGTTGTAAATAGGTTTTGGGTGTGTTTCTAAAGTCCATTTTATATAGGGTTTTTTTTATAATTTGGACTTCTATATTGGGTATAATAGTGAATCTCCCTAAAGGAAAATGTTTTTATGGTTAATTTTTAAATAACACAAAATTGTCCTTATTTAAGAAAAATAAATTTAAAACATAAAAGTACTATATGTTAAGGGAACAAAGGCGTAAAACCGTAGTCTATTAAAGTGCAAATAATTACAATAATAATAATAATAATAATAATAATAAGAGTATATGTTTAACAAAATTCTATATTGATAAGAATAAAATAAACTTATTGACATATCCTTAAACGCGAATTGAGAGACTGGTATATATAATGAGTGAACTGCAACCTAGCATAAGGCTCACCCTCACATTGTCACATGCACTATGTGACATCAATGTAGAGGATCAAGCTCATACTAGTTTCATTTGGAAAAGTTTTAACGTTTCAATTTGACAAAGTTAAGGACCTATATGTTCAAAGCAAAAATAAGCTCCTTAGGTTCCACGAAAACATGCCTATTAGAATTAGTCATGGGTTCCAAGCGATGGTGTCCCAAACAAGAGGAGGAAGAAGGAGACGTTGGTTTGTACCTTAGTGAGGAGCAACTCCGGATCCCAAATCAAACCATGCATGTTTAGCTTGACATGTTTTCTAAAGGCTTTTAGAGAGAACGATTGGTTTCGGTGTTATTTCTTCATAGCTAGAAAAAGGCAAAGGATGAATCTTGAGTGTTGGCTTTTTCAAATGGTATCCAATGCTTAATAATTTTTCCTTCTCATGAAACGACACAACTCCTATTTGCTTTAAGAATCTAATCACCAAAGCTTGGAACGCATCCTTTCCCTGTGACTTATATAAACTAACATCTCCACCATGACCGGTACTTCCCATAATCCAATTGCAGAAATAAGGTGGTGTTTGGTTGGTATAGAATATAGAAGAATGGGAATGGAATGAGAGTGATTCTATTGTTTGGTTGGAAAAAAATTGAAATTATTAATGTAATGAGCAATACAAGTTTTTTTTTTTGGTGAAATACTTTTTTGGTCATTGGGTTTTACGCGAAAATTCAATTTGGTTACTGAGAAAAAAAAATTAGCCAAATTGGTCACTGTGTTTCTCAAAGTTTACAATTTATAAACATTTCGTTAACAAGTTGAGGTAAATCTTGGGTTGAAATCAAAATTGTGACGTATGTAAGGAAAAATAAAAAAGCCAAACCAAATTAAAATGAAATCAACAACTGAACAATATATTTTGGTGTTATATCACCTTCATTACATCTCCTTGCCGTCCGAAGTCACAATATGGTTCTCACTCAATCGATTCAAGCTTCAATATAGCATCTAATCCGTGACCTTATACCTCACAATTTTGATTTGAACCCAAGCTTTCCCTCAATTTGTTAAAACCTAATAGCACAACTTACCCAAACTCGTTGAGTTAGATGAAGAATATTGAATATGCTTCCCAAAAAAA